CTGATGTAAAACAGGGGTGTATCCCCTTGAGGGCCACCAGCACCAGCCCTTGTTGCCCATCCCGGGAAGGAGGCACCAGGGTGGGAGTCTGTCTGTCCAGAGGGAACACCCCACATCCCTGCTGACGCCTCTGGGGCTCGTGTGTCTTGGAGCAAGTCATTCGTTCGCACTTCGGAGAGCTGAAACTGTTTTGCAGGCGTCCTGCCGTGTGGAGTGCCTTGTCCCACCTTTCAAGCCTGTGCAGATCGTTTTCTGACGCTGTATTTTTCAGCTTTTAGTTTCTAGAGGCGGAGGTGGCACTCCTGCAGGGGAACGTGGGGCAGAAAGCCTTCAAAGCACTGCTCCTTGCTCGGCCACGGACTCCCCCCGCTGCCTTGCGTGGTCCCGCAGGGTCGCAGTGTGGCTTTGCTGCCCGTAAGAGGGACATGGTGACAGTTCCTTCCCCCAAGGAGCAATGCCAGGGTTAATTGCTTCGTATTTGTGGAAGCCACAGAGCTTTGGGAAGTACTGTAAAGAGCCAAAACTTCCAGTTCAAGAGCATATATTCCCTATGTATGTCGAACACCCCCGAGCACATTTCGATCCCTCCCCAAGGCAGGTGCCTTCGCGTGGGCTCGTGGGTTTTTGCCTCACCGGGGCTGACATTTGCTCTCCTCGGCTCAGGTGGCACGTCGCGAGGAAGAGCGAGTGCACGGCCCAGTGCGGGCTGGGGTACCGCACCCTGGAGATCTACTGCTCCAAGTACAGCAGGCTGGAGGGGAAGATAGAGAAGGTCGACGAGATCCCTCCCCAAGGCAGGTGCCTTCGCGTGGGCTCGTGGGTTTTTGCCTCACCGGGGCTGACATTTGCTCTCCTCGGCTCAGGTGGCACGTCGCGAGGAAGAGCGAGTGCACGGCCCAGTGCGGGCTGGGGTACCGCACCCTGGAGATCTACTGCTCCAAGTACAGCAGGCTGGAGGGGAAGATAGAGAAGGTCGACGACCGCTTCTGCAGCAGCCAGCCCAAGCCGAGCACGAGGGAGAAGTGCACTGGAGACTGTAACGTGGGAGGGTGGCGGTACTCGGCCTGGACCGAGGTAAGGGATGCTCAGCGGTACGGCAGACGCTGTCTTCTCCTCGCATGGGGCTGTCAGGCTGTTCAGGTTGCATACAGCATATAGAAGTTGGCCACAGTGATTCTGCTTCCATTGCTTTTTCTGGAGGACACTGTAGTCCAGATCAGCCTGGTACTCCTCGTTTTCCACTGCAATGAATTTACACTTTTAAGCATCCCAAGGTCTGTTTTCGTTAGGCTGAGCCCTGCTGGCTGTCTTCCCCCATCACAGCCAGCCCCGCTGGCAGGAGGCAGGAGGTTGTGTTACCATCAGTGGAGGACTTCTGAAACTTGTTTCCTTTACGCTTTTTAGCAGAATACTTTTCTATGGCCGAGAATATTCCTGAATGCAGACCTAGAACCGAGAGAATGACGAGCCCGGGGCTTTTCAGGGAGGGCATGGTGAAGGGAGGCAGGCTGGTTAGAGAGAATTAATCTCTCCTAAAATGAGAACAAGCAACAGCCATTTGGGAGGACTGAAAGGCAACACTTGTACAAGTAATAATGGGGTTATAACCCAAAATGAATTTGTGAAACTCATTGCCGCGAGATTTTATTAAGCTTAGCAAGATTGGATTTTTAAAGGAATATATAAAGTAACAGCCTGTTACTTAAAGTACAAATTGTTCTTCTGGAGGTTTTCTGCAGTCTCTTCACAGTCCTGACTGCAAGAGGGGGAGAAGGAAATAAATGAGCTCTCAGCCCGTAATAGAACGGCAGAAATTATTTACTCAGTGTCTCTCTTTCCCAGTGCTCCAAGAGCGGCGGGGGGGGGACGCGGCGGCGGCGAGCCATGTGCGTGAACACCTACAACGACGTCCTGGATGACAGCAAGTGCAGTCAGCAGGAGAAGCTGACGGTGCAGCGATGCAGCGACTTCTTGTGCCCCCAGTGGAAAACGGGCGACTGGTCCGAGGTAGGTGCTGGTCACCAGGGTGGGCTCGCTCTGCTGGTCCTCCACCCTGAGGGGCTGGTGCCTGCAAAGAGATATCTCTGTCCCTGCTCATCCCTCGTGTTTTGTCTGCGTGGCCTGCAAGTGCCGTGCCCCGGGCTGTGGTGGCACCGTGCCTCCTGCAGAAGGTCTGCCCAAGCCTGTGCACAGGGAGGCTTGAGGCAAGCAGCCAAGCCACTGCCGTGTCACCACTGGTCAAGTGGCCGATTTCCTCTCTGCAGAGCCACAGGGGGTTAATTCCTCTCCAAGCCTGCAGTAATTTCTCCCCAGTTTTTCCACGGTTCCTCTGCAGCTTTAGGAAGAAAAATACCTTCTGCCCTCATTTTCCCTTAGGATCGTCCTCACAAGGCCTGGCAGCTCTGGCTGTCGCTGTAGGGCAGGGTTTCACCCTACTAATACCTTGCTCAGCCCTCTCCCTGCTGTTTATTACTATTACCTCTTCCACTGCTGCTGGTGTCCTTCGCAATGCAACAAAACCGAATCTTTGATAGCCTTTTCCCTGCAGCAGGACCAGGGATGCTGGAGAACAGTTTTCAAAGGCTGCTCCTCACCTTTGTGGCCAAATAGCTCTTGCTTCTGTGAATCACATTCTTTTAGGAAATAATGAAAGCAATTAAATGGGAACAGGGATTGTTCTCTGAAAAATATCTGTCTTCTGGGTCGAGCTGCTGCCAGCCTGAGCCATGCTGGAGCAGTGGAAGAGGCGCTTACAGCCTGCAGGAGCCGAGACCCTTATTGCATACACTCAGAGTCGAGCAAGTTTTTCTGCAAGCCTTTGGCAGCCCGTTGTGCACAGCTAAAGCCCTATCAGGCAGTGCTGTGGCTTTGCCCTACATCTTACAGCTGCTGGAAGTAAAGAGCCTTCATGGTTCTTGCTTTGCCCGTGCTGAAGCGTCCCAGCCTGGCTGTGCTCTCCACACTCCAGCCTCTGCTCTGGACCACCTCCTGAGAGCAAAATCCCGTCTCCTTGCAAGACACTCGTGTGTTTTCCAGTGGACGTGGTCATTAGCTAAATAGCCGCCTCTCGGCACCAGTTTTTAATCAGTGATTTGCAGCGGGTCTCCAGGTTTCTTTTTCAGCGGCAGGGCGGGTGCTGAGCTGGCAGCGCATCCCCAGCACCGCCTGAGCTTGCGCTTTGCTCCTCGCAGTGCCTGGTCACCTGTGGAAAAGGGCATAAACACCGCCAGATCTGGTGCCAGTTTGGAGAAGATCGATTAAACGACAGGTTTTGCGATCCCGAAACGAAGCCGGAGTCAGTGCAGACGTGCCAGCAGCAAGAGTGTGCTTCGTGGCAAGTGGGGCCGTGGGGCCAGGTACCGCAGAGCTGCCGCGGGGCTCCGGGCCGGTGGGACCTGGGTGCTGGTGGCCGAGCCTGGGCGCTCCCCTTTCATCCAAATTCAGCGGCGTAACTGTGTTAATTGATTTGCACGCCAAAGCAGCTCTCTGTTTGCTTGGGTTCAGTGGATGGGCAGCAATAACAGTACCTGCCCTTTGTGCTAAATTTAGTCTGCGTCATATTAAATTGGCGGTGATTTTCAAAAAAGGGGTTTCCAAGTTTACACTCCTAAATCCCTATTTAAGCACGTAAATATACAGCCTAATTTTCACAGAAAAGCTGTTCCCATTGCATAGCTTTTGTTGCTTTTAATATTTTCCAGTTTCTGGGTTGGTGAGGGTTTTTTTCTGTTAAAATACAAGTTACTTATTTCTCCCGGCGTGTTCTGGCATCTCCTTTTCCAGAAAGCTGTTAGCTCTTGACTTAAAAAAAAAAAAAAAGCAACAAACCCAGACCAGTTGTCCCAGTCAGACTTATTTCCCATCAGCAAAATTATTCATTAGCCGCCTGTGCTACCATGGGGCTGAACAACCACTTTTAAAGGAGGATATGATGCAGGTTCTACCAGACTATGATTTACTGTGTGCAGCAAAGTATATCATTTAAACACTCGCACTTTCATTCCCGAGGAAGCAAGTGAAGCGTGCGAGGCTCTGGTGGGCACAGTGAATTAAAACTTTGACCTAATTTAAAGCTAAAATGCATGAAGTGGAGAGAAACCAGAAGGGAAGCTGGGTTTTATTTTTGCTGCTCATGCTGTGTGCCTAAACACAGGCTGGGCTGATTAATACTTCCTAACCGAAGCAGCTACTCAGACCCAACACTTCTTTCTCCCGTCTCTCCTCTCCCAGTGCACCATGACCTGTGGCCAAGGCTACCAGATGAGAGCGGTGAAGTGTGTCGTGGGCACCTACGTGTCAGTGGTGGATGATAATGAGTGCAATGCTGCAACCAGGCCAACAGACACCCAGGTAAATCCTGCTGTCCCGTCCCCGTCTTTTGCCACCGTGCGTACGGAGGCATCCAGGCTGCAGCTTCAGGGGATGTCTTGCTGCAGCAAAGGCTCTGCCCATGCGGAGCAGTGTCTTGGTCCTCTAAGAGCTCGTGAGCTGAAGAAGCAGCAGTAGATAAATATGGAAGACAACCAGAGAGTAGAAGGGTACGCTTCCTTTGGCTTGCACGGGGTCTGGGATGCCTGGCTGCAGTCAGGGCTCACTTGGCTGCAGGACCGTTGCTGTGTGGTACAAGTGACGATTAGGGGCCACCATTTCTTGTCTGCTGCACGTGACAATATAGTGTATGTGCCAGCTACAGTTCCAGATGCGTCCCCCCTGGCTGGATAAACTGAGAAATGTTGCACACCCTTTGCAAATTTGCTGAAGAGGCTTTCCATGCTGTGTTCACTGGTACTTGGAAGCAACCGTGTAAATTCCCTTTTCAAGCAGAGGATGTGTCCGTGGTGTCTGAAGGAGTTGAATAAAGCAGAACGTTACCGTCTGTCATCTAGGGAAGTGGTAGTGCCGATGCCCTACCCAGCTTCAGTCCCGCATGACTTCACAGAGTTTAACTAAGGCCACAACATTTAGGAAAGGGCTGTTTTTCCCATGTATGGAGACCAATTGCACTATAGTCAAGGGGTAACAAACCCGCTTGTCATCAGCCATCACTTCGCACGCACATCTCCAGTGTAAGTAAAATCACAGCAATGCGGAAATCGTTTATGCCATTTGTCAAGAGCCGCTCTCTCCCTTGCAGTGACGATCAGTATTAATTTCCTTTTTGGCTATGACTACTTGTAGGCTCATGGAGTAAAGTCATGGTTATTCATCATTCCTGTCGCCAGACCTCCCAGGAGGTCCAGACAGGACCAGAACCCTCCTGTTAGGCACCGTGCCAAGGCTGAGCAGAATGACATGCCCGTCCCCAAAACCTTGCATGCTTAGTGTGTGGTGAAGATCAGCACATGGATATAGGTGGTCTGGTGGGCTGCAGGGAATCAAAGGGCTGCAATCAGCTCAGCAGCGTAACCTTTATTAAGTGGGCTGCAGGTCTCGCGCTGAAGGAAGGGAGCTTTGAAGGGAGATAAAGTTGCTGCTTTGCAGATGTGTGTTCATACCAGAACTCTCTTAATGAACTTTCATCTTTTGCCTCAAAAACATCTGGTTTTAATGCATGGAGATGGCACATGGTTATAGGGATCCCTATTGTAGAGTTCCTAATAAGTCAGAAGTCCACCAAGGTTCTGCATATGAAGCCCTTGGGGTATTGATACCAAATTTTGCTGATTCAAAGCCTGCCAACACACAAGCATGCAGGTCACAGATTTTCAAGACATTGTGTGTGGTTGATAATTACATTAAAGAGGAAGTAGTTTAACTGAAACGTCTGCAAATTCTTTGTTTCCCTCTTTTCCCTCGTGTATTTCATGTACAGGACTGTGAAATAGCAGCATGTCCTCCCCATCCAAATAGTCCCGAAGCCAAGAGATCCATATCGGGCATTCACAGGACACAGTGGAGATTTGGATCCTGGACACCGGTAAGCGTGTATTGTAATACTTTCAGGATTATTTTACAGTAGGCAGTGTGTTATTTTTAAGTGCATTTGACTGACTTTTTGTTCCAAAGCCCTTGTAATATACGTATCAGGAAACTTTCTAGTGGAGTGCTTGTTGCTCTTCCCTAGTGCTCCGCAACGTGCGGGAAGGGTACCCGGATGAGATACGTCAGCTGTCGAGATGACCAGGGCTCGGTGGCCGACGAGTCAGCTTGTTTCCACCTCCCGAAGCCGTCAGCCACGGAAATGTGCACCGTGACGCCGTGCGGGCAGTGGAAGGCCTTGGAGTGGAGCTCTGTAAGCATCACGCTGTCTCTTGCAGGAGAGCCTTATAGACCTCGTTGCTGGAAACGAGTTTCATTAATCTGTCACGCTTGCCCTTTTATAACTGGGGAGATTAAGGTTTTCTGCTGTTCGTTATTTGCAATAGCTGTCTGCCTGGTTTTCAAAGCTGGAAATGTGACTGTGTCTCCTTTTCCCACTGTAATGCAGTGCTCGGTGACTTGTGGTCAAGGTAAGGCAACGCGACAAGTGATCTGCATCAATTACAGTGACCAGCTGGTGGATAGGAGTGAGTGCGATCCAGACGACCTCCCTGCCACCGAGCAAGACTGCTCCATGTCTCCCTGTCATCCAAACAGCCATGACTACGGCAGGCCCATCCACCCTTTCCTCTATCCGGATCATCGCCTGAAACTGCACCCCGGAGGCAGCCCGAACCGAAACCGTGCAGATATTCCGGGAGGCAATCAGTGGAGGATTGGCCCCTGGGGTGCTGTAAGTGCCCTGATTTTCTTATTTCTGCCTGGTTTTTTGTTTTGTTTTTTTTTTGTTCCCCCCTGGGCTAATCCAGGCTTTTCTTAACATCACCGCGTAGGGAAAAGAGGGACCCTTTTCCCCTCTTTCTGCTGTCTGCTCACACGAACAAGTGCAAGCATCACTTCTCAGCCTCTCACACCTCGTATCTTCAAGGCTCTCCAGGCAGAAAGCTGACGGCATCATTTTCCATGAGGCAAAGGCCAACCTCTGCTTCTGAGCCATCTCCCGGGACATTTACAGCTGTGCAGAGCTGTTGCCAAAGCACAGCGAAGCCATGATGCCAGCTCCTCTCACCCCAGCCAGTTTGCAACGCTTTATCACAGAAGTCCCTAAAGAGAATTAAGCACAAATGGGATGTCAAACACTGCATTAAAGGCAGTGGGGATTACTCACCTGCTTAAAACTAGGCTCATGTTTATTTTCTTTGCTTACTCAGCACCTAAGTCATTGCACTGCTATTAGTAATAGCTGGGTTTTGAAGTTAATAATGCCTGTTAGCTGTATTAAATTTCTAGCTGCTCATTCCCACGGTGCAAGGCACTGGGAAGGAGCTGGGAATGCAGAATTTTTCCTGGACTCAATGAAGCCGTGGGCAATTGTGTCTTCCAGTGCTCTAGCACGTGTGCGGGGGGGTTCCAGCGGCGGGTCGTGGTATGCCAGGATGAAAACGGATACACCGCAAATAACTGCGATGAGAAAAGCAAACCCATGGAGCAGAGATCGTGCGAATCTGGCCCCTGTCCTCAGTGGGCTTATGGCAACTGGGGCGAGGTGAGTGCACCGTTCGTCCTGGGCTCCCTGCGCAGGGGAAGGCTTTCATTAGCGGGTGGCTGAAAAATGGGAGAAGAAGGGGATATTGCGGTGACATTTATTAGAAAGATGGGAGCACAAAAGGCAGCCTCTGATAAATGAGTGAACCCTAGCAACTGCTTGGTGGTGTTTTTCTTTCCATTTCTCATGGGAAAATTTTCTTCCCCGGCAAAAGCAAATTCTACAAAAATTGAGGGTTTTTTTTTCTTTTTTTTTTCTTTTTAAGAGAAGTCTAGTTTAACTGAAGGCCTTTTTTCTTAATAAAAACACTGCTCCCTTCTGAAAATTCATCTGAGATGAGCAATTAGAGACGTTAACCTCCAGTATCACGCTGGGTCTGGCAGTATCATTGTGGAGCAGCACAAACAGCTTTAGGAAGAGAGAAGCTGAAGCGGCTGATGCCCCGTCTGAAGCTCATGCAGCGTTTGGGGGGGATTTGGCCGGAGTGGGTTGGTTGGGAACAGAATCAACAGTTGGGTCTTGAGAGGTGCTAGTGCTTCGAGCGACCGGTCGGCAGTATTTTTGCTGCCCAGGCAGTGATTGCTCTGTCCTCTGCTGACTTCCAGTGCACGAAGCCATGCGGGGCAGGGACAAGAACACGGCTGGTGGTGTGCCAGCGCCCTAATGGAGAAAGGTTTACGGATCTGAGCTGTGAAATCCTTGACAAGCCACCGGACAGAGAGCAGTGCAATGTGCAGGACTGTCCTAGAGATGCTGCCTGGAGCGCTGGTCCTTGGAGCTCGGTACGACCATAAACTCTTTCTCTTTGTGAACAGTTTTGTGGATATCCCGTAACAACAGATTTAATTTGCTTCAAACCAAGGTGCTAATGCTTCGTGTCTTAAAACTGCACTTAAAGAGGATTATTGACAGTATATTCAGAATAACACCTGTTCAGGAAGGGCTTACATTAGGGGAGCTCGAGTCCTTTAATTTAAAAGGCACTTTCTGCTAAGTAGCCACCTATGTCCATTTTATTACACTCTGCAAGCGCTGTGCATTGTGAGTCTGGTTCTGACTGAGTTCTTTGCATATGGATTTAAACCTGGCATTTAAGCAGCACATTTCCATTGAAGTGAAATTGTTCTGATATTTAATGGTAATACCGCACTGTGCACCTACTGGTTTACCAGTCGCGTGTTCTCTGCCGAAAGCAAGATGACAGGGGAAAATGTGTACTAAATTGCATCAACTCCCAAGCATGTACAAATATGTATAGATGTGTGTGCGTGTCCCTACCTGCTCCCACACACAGCTATATAGAAACGCGTGAGCGTTCACACCCGTGTTCTATTTCTTTTCCCGTGTATATATAATACGAGTGTGATGTACTGTGCAAAGGCACCTGTAAGCTATTCTCATGCATCTCTCTGGTTCTGGAGAGTTATGGTCTGGCCTGATCTCCAGCTGCTCCTCTAGATACCATTAAGTCAGCAAGGGATCAGCAAGGTGGTGGAAGGCTTAAAACCCTGGGAGTTTTCTAATAACAAAACAGCGTTTGGAGCAGAGTTGCCTTACACTGCTCCTTTGCCGCGGGAGGAGTCTGCTACAGAGATGCTCTTGCGATGGCAGAGCAGCCCTGAGCCAGGGGGCTGGGATGCTATTTTGGATCCCACGGCTTTGAAATTCTCCCTGCCCAGAGCAGCACCTTCTGCTCGGCGCGGAGCCCCGGTGCGCAGCACGGGGCTGAGCCCTGCGCCAAGGCGAGTGCCGCCTGGGCCGCTTCGGGCATGCTGGAATCCACGGACCTGCTGGTTTTGGAGTGGCCTTCAAACAAATGTCGACCTTTATTGTGTATTTTGTTGTAAAAGCATTTGAAGAAGATTTTAAAAAAAAAAAAAAATTAATCTGACTCAAAAGCACTTTATAGGAAAAGAAAAAAAGAGGCCTGTTTGTAATGTATTGGACTTCCTTAATTGTCATGGTTTGAAAAGTCATCTTGCTAAAACGTAACCGCACTCTTGTTTCTGCGGGTGCTTTCAGTAACGCAGATGCCTTCCGTAACGCTCCTCAGTGTTTTTACCATACCTCAGTGAGTTATGCAATAGCCATAAAACTGCTGAACTGGTGTTTATACGGTGCTTCACCAGTACAAGGGACAGCGATACGAAATATTTCATTTGAGGTGCTAATGTATCACTTGCACGCTGATGTAGTTGGTGCTAAAAATGAGCGAGGTGAGCTAAGCAGAGCTAGCAACCCCTGCGGTGGCTTCCCCGCAGAGTTACCGGCTGGGAGTTGCTGCCAACCTGTGTTACCTGTGCTGGACCATTTGCAAGAACCAAAGGTGTGGACAGAGTTGCGTTGCATTTTGGTGTCGCTCAGCGTTCAGCCTCTTCACAGCTGTTCAGGAGCAGGCTCCAGGGCTGCGTCTGCTCCTCCGTCTTGGAAATGCGGGGTGCGGTCCTGGATTTTGGTTTGGGGTTGGGTTTTTTCACCCGGGAAAAATTCCCTTGACTCTACTAAGTTGTGTTAACCTTGGTGGGTTGTCCTTGCTCGGTCTCCTGGGAGCGTGTGGGACGGCGGGCAAACAGGCAAGAGGGCAGGGGCATCCTGTCCTGCCTGCGGCATCTCCCCCCGCCTCCCCAGGCGAAGGGGCTGCGGAGCTCAGCCCCAGTCGTTGCCACAAAATGACTTGATTTTTCAGGTCTTGCTACCGAGGTGTCATTTGGCTCTGACGTAGGGGACCCCAGAGCTGTTTGAAGACTGAATTGTATCTATGGGGTCAACAGGGCTTCGTGTCCCTCCTGCAAAATACTCCCCATATATGTCTACCTCGTGCTACTACTGTAGGTAGTAACGTCCAAATTTTTTTTCTTTAGTGTGGTATCACCTGGATTTGCTTTAGCTCTGTCGTCGGTTGCAAACATCATTCTGTAGCTGTACATACTTCATCTGTTGGGATGGAGTGTCACTACCATATTTTTTTTGGTCACTTTTGAAACAAGAGTATAGTATTAGCTGAAACTTTTCAGCAGTATGGATTTATGTATTTATGTAAAAGTGTATTTATTTTTCCAATATTGTTATTTAATTTTATATAAATATTGCATACATTTACGATGTTTAATGTTAATGTTGAACAGTGAAAATTAAAGACAAGTAGAATGTAATCATAAATGAATTTGTATAATGATTTCTTGAGTCTTTTGCTAAATTAAGCAGTTTTGGTAACTTTTACTAAATTTTCTGAAATGGTACTGCAATGTCCCATCTTTTGACTTGCTTTTCTTTTACTTGCTTTGTTCTCCAACAGAAACTGTGATTCTCAATAATTAAAAAAACACAGTTAAATGTCTGAATTATGAAGTTGGGATAACTAATTTCTTGCAAGCCTCTGATTGGCTTAGCTTCACTCAAGTTTCAGTGAAATTAGTACTATAAAATACACACAAATTAAAGCAGAGAGAGTCTGAAGAGTCCAACCCTCAGTCCTCAGGCAAAATTCCACTGGGATTTTAGACAGTAAACAAGTGATTTTATCTGACTGGTTAAATCCAGTTTTTAAAGAGATAATTAAATGAATAAACAGATTCTGTATGTAAACGATAATTCTATAACAGGAGACTGGTGAGATGCCTTGTCATTATAATGTAAGTTCAAAGAGGACTACGAGGAGGTGACACTTTATTTCCTTGCTTATTTAAGAACATGTATTTAAACACCGCAGAATTGTATGCCATGTGATAGACCTGACCTTTTTATTAAAATAACGCTTTAGAAAACATGCAGAGACTGTCACCAGGATACAGAGAGTGTTTTTTCTCCTCTGAATGCCTTATGGTATGAACGCAGATCTCCATACATGCTCTTGAATACTGAGAGGAAATCTCGCCATGTTCTCTGGAACGAGGGAGATGCTCACGGAGAATATTATCCATCGCTTCGCTTAAAACCCGGGGCTGAACCCACTTCTCTTGGAGCAGATCTGCTCCTTGCAATAATCTCCATGAAATTTTGGTGCTGTAGAGTTTACCATAATATACAGCTGTATCCTGATACAATTTATGAATAATGCTGAATTCACTTGTCATGGGCTTCTCATTCTTTCCGAGTTAGGAAACGGGCACAGATAAGGTAAAACAATTATATCTCACAGCACCCTGTCCTGGTTCAGTCGGGTGAGTCATCTGGACTTCACTGCAGTGGGATAGTAATCATTTGAATTTGACTTCTGGAAAATCGGTTGGTGGGTGGGTTTTAGGGCTTGATTTCCCCCCCCCTTCCCCCCCCAAGACTTTTGTAATTTTTAAAAGAATCTTCTTTGTCAGGTACTTATTGCTCTTGGGTATCAAAAGTTCTAGCTGCTAATGCAATGCTTGTGTACCTGCAAAACAGCGGTGTGTGCTTCCCAGCTGTTTATCGAACAGGCAGAAATGCTGGTATCTTAGTCTTTGAGAGCCTTTTGATCTAACAATGAAGAATTGGAAGCTTCGCGTAAAATAAGTAGAATATTATCTGGCTAAGCTCCAAACTTTGTTACTGTCGGTGTGAATTGAGGTTTGGGTTAGGACAACGATGCCGTATCCCCTTAGCCGGAGGTGGAAGCTGCTGGCAGTGATGGCTTTGCAGGGCTCTTCGGCTGTGCACAGGGATGCAGGTAGCGGGGAAGGGGCTCCGGACTCGGTGGGAAGCGGGAGGACTGCCTGGCCAACATCCTTGTCAGGGAGCTGGTGCTCAGGAATTTTAATCTTAAAATTGGTGTTAATGGAAAGTTCAGGTTATTTGTATTTAATTCTGTCAAAGTCCCCAACGTGTTGTTTACGAAATGCCCTCCTCATGAAGCTGGCTGAAAATAGGCTGTTCAACAGCAATATTCTCCATGTTGTTGTTCTGATAATATTCTTAGCAGGCAGGATGTCAGCTCTTGCTAAGGCAGAAGTGATAACCCGGGGCAGATTTGGTTGCAAGTGTATATAACTCTGCTGTTCTCTTCCTCTCTTCTGCAGAAAATGAATTTGCTGTGACAGTAGCATTACTGAGCTGCTGTATGATTCTTTACACGTGTTTTTGCAATAACAAAGCCACCCTTGAAAATGAAGTGATAGGCACGCTGAACTCTCCAGTCACTCAGTGATTCACGTTGCTTTTTCTGTCCTTCATTCATACGATGTTCATTCAGGCTCTGAGACTCCGACAGCAAGTCTGTATTTCTCTGTAGTGCCAGGTATTATCAGAAAACTAATAAAAACAATCCTACCCCGAGAGCCTGGGGGGAAGGACAAATGCTGCCGCAGCAGAGGAAGGCTGCAGTATGGTCCCAGCAGCCGTAACCCAGGCAGAGGGATGCACTGGGTGGCTTGCATGCCTTTAGAAAAACAGATAGAAATAGATGCCTTAGTGAAGATTGAATAAAGCTGATCCAGACCAAAAGGAGAACTTGGTAGCCTATGGCTATCCCCAGCCATCTGTCTGAAGCTGTCTCTGTCTCGGAGCTGTTTACTGTACGCTTAGGCTGGCCCACCAAGGCTGTTGCCCCTCTTGGGTTCCTGGCTGTCTCCCCTCTAGGATCACCCAGACCGACTGACTCCAGGGACTGCCCGTTTGGTGAGCTGATGAAAGGCAAGAAGTTGTCTGCTTTGGTTCCCCGGTCAGAAAAAGACCTTTGACAGTGCAGATCTCTTTGCTCTTGTTTAAAAAAGCAAACCAGACCCGTTTGCTGTGTGTCCTCTACTCCCTGCTGTGTGTCACCCATCCAGAGCATCCCACTGCCAGTGCCCAGCTTCAGCCACCCTCCAAAACT